TGTGAATTCCTTCTTTCTCAGCCTTGGCGAGCGTGTTAGTTTCACCCTCTCTGCCTCCCCTAACTGGGGGGCAACATTTGGGTGCGTCCTAAAAGAGATGGATCCTACAATGGAAGTTGGTTTCCTTTTGGTTTGCCATTGGAAGGTCATTCTTGGGTATCATCCAAGCGGGGGCCGATTTTAGGACACTCCCTCACGGATCACTCCTGCGGACCGGGCTGTCAACAGCAAGCGGCCGCCGATTGGCCCCCGACGGCCCAGCCCACAGGGGGCCAAACGGATCTGCCCAAATGGGTGCAGTTGGGCCCTGCCGCGTTTCAATGATCAGCTTGTCAGTTGAAAGGGCCCTTTCTGCGCCGCACGGGAGCTAGGCTCCAGAAAAGGAATGGCCCCGATACATTGCATGTGCATGTGCACGTGCCACGCCGCGTTTTTCAGGTTATTTTTTGTGTGTTTTTTTTTTGGGGGGGGGTTCGAAGGGAGGCCAAACGGAGAGTTGCAATTTTGCTGGTGGTGGTGATGATGATGGCGGGCGGCGTAGGTGGCTTGTTCCATGCCTACAACAAGCTCAGCATGGACCACGATCCGATTCCGCGCGCCGAACCGAACACCCCGAAAAAAAACCCAAGGTTGGGGCCAAAGGCAAACAAAACACCCAGGACCCGAAAAATGACCAAAACATCGCTGGGAGGGTTAGGGTGGCTCCCGTACGGCGGCCCAGGTACCTGACGAGAATAGATGGGCTGGAAGGTCTCCCCAACAACAAAACAAAAAGGGTCTACCTTCGTCGGCTCCACTGTGGGTCCGTCGCTCGTAGCTGACGGCCCTCTCCCCGACCCGGGGTCGTGCCCCGCACGGGTCGCCTGCTGAGTCCGACTTCGAAGGCAGCCCTAAACCATTGTTAGGGTTACCACCTCAACGTGGGAGCAATACGACGACCAACTCACAGAAACACGATGCAACAAGATAGGCCTCGTTGATCTCACGGATCCATAGGGGCGTCGGGGTCCGCGGCCCTTCTGCCTTTGCCTTTGCCCCTGGCCCTTCTGCTTCCCTTTTCCCTTTGCTCGTGCAGCTCGGACTTTGGGACCTTTATCCGGATACAGCTGGATGCCGTTAAGAAGGGTAAACCATGCGGGAGAGAACATCGAGCATCCAGTTCCCTTCAGATCGGACTCGGTCGAAGACGAGCCTGGCCGGTTCCCCCCGAGAGAGGATAAGGCACATGGCGCCTGAGCGATCTTTCCGCACCCGATCGAGAATGCCATCGAAGCGCAGGCCTTGCAAGCAGCTCCGTCGCAACTTGGCATTTCCGATCCCGCGTTTTCCCTGCGACAGCTTCATGGCTTTCGCTTGCACTGCCTCCTCAGTCCACTCAGCGCGTGCAATCCCATCCAGCTCCTCATGGAGCGCCTGTGCCACCCGTGCTTTGATCTCGGAAGCTGGAGTTTCCCCTGACTCAAAAAAGCGACTCGAGATGCCGGCGACCCCCACTGAGTGTTCCACCCGCAGGTGGCGATAGGCCTTGAAGCTCCACAGTGTACTCAACCCTGTCAACCCGTTGCTCCAAGGCATCGAGCCGCTCATTTGTCTCTTTAAGCTGCGAGCGTAGCACTCCATTCCCTTGGCGCCGTTACGAGGGCAAGTGCTACTAGCAACAGACGAACCAACATGGCTGCGGCAATCCTGCGATGTTTGACTCTTGCCGGCGAAGTGCCTGGTGTGTGTTAGTTCGGCTTTACACTCCGCGAGAGCTGAGATTAGACCTGCTGCCAAAGCCTCATGTGGATGCGAGTACCGCTCATGATTCTTACGCGCCTGAACAGACCCCAAGACCTTCTCTCGCAAAAGAGGCACTTTTTGTTAGCGTCACCAGCCCCCCGACAAAGCGGCCTATGTTGTCCGATATCTGTGGGCCTAAAGTCGGGCCGCCCTCAAGGGGCCTGGAGGCACTGCGCACCACGCACCGCAATGCGGGGAGACCCGACCTGCCGCCCCGCCAGCAGCGAGAACCTCATTTCCGTGCGCGCCGCTGTGGCCCTTGACGTGATGGAACTCCAAAGAGACCAGCCTCCGGACTCGACTGACCAGATCGGCCACGGTATCCGCCAGGCTCTGATTCTCCGTGGGGTGGCACAGCCTTGTTGCAACGCCAAAAAGCGTAAGTACTATCATAGAACAGATGTGCCGTGCGCAGGGCCTGTCCAATGGCCAACAGTTCTGCCATGTTGTTGGTGTGCGCGGTGGCTTATCTGTATAGGGGGTCGAAGCTCTGAACTAGCACTGGGCCATACAGGGCAGCAACTCAGGCCTGCTCGGTCGCTGGGAACCCCGCCGGATCCATCTGTATACATGGGGGTCTCCGACGTCCGCCGAATGACGTCCCATTTCACCAGCCCCAAGACCGCCACCTCTGTCCAGACCATGCAGCCGAGCGGGCTGGACAAACGTGCGTCTTCTGCTGTGCTCGCCCACACTCCTCACAGCAGAACACCTGTGTTGTGACCAGCTCGGGATCACACACGGCGTGAGATTCCTCATTGTGGAAGGTCAACTGGTTGGCCTTGTTAAAGGTCTGTTGGCAGACGGGACATTCCCGAGATCCGCGTCGCTGCCCGCAGCGCTGTCGCCCTCTTCTGATTCCGAATCTCGCCGGGCGAAAGCCGGAATTGGTCGACCCGGCTTCCATGCATCCAAGGCCTGCTCACACTCCGGACGGACGTGCGTTGGGGGGAACGCCGTGTGCACTTGCTGCCTCCATTCCGTCCGCCGCTGCGCCAGGCGGAGCCAGTCGATTTGCGGATTTCCAGCCTGTTTTAAACACGAGTTGATCCATTGCCATATTATATCAAGGTCAAGCACCGCACCTGTGTTTCGAAACTCTCCCACTGCACTAGGTTTCGCAGGACCTTGTTGCTCAGACCGCACTAGGCCCAGGCGGACCCCAATGTAGCGACGTATGGCCATGCGCACCGCTTTCTGCGCTCGGGGCAGTTGATTCACTTGCCAGGCCCGGGTCTTAGCAAAGCTGTGCAAGATTCCCTGCACGACTGCCTTCATGACGCGAATACCCGGGACCGGTGACTCTGGAAGCCAAAAAACAAAAGGCACAGCAGTGCCGCCAAGCAGGTGCAGAGATAAGGAACACAGGGGAATCCTTTGATGTAGTGTCTTGGGCTTCCAGCGAGCTGAGCTTTCAGCGCTACCAAGCCGTTCGCGAGGAGCGTGCGCGAACTTCTGGAGAGTGAAGTCACGCAGGTTCAGCAGACGGCCCTCGACATGTTCTACCTCCGCAGGCTGAACATCACTCCCTACTCGAGGTACGTCTACAAGTACGGCCTGGACTACATCTTGCGCACGGGTCACATGGTCAGCCGCTCCAGCGACGACCACGGCAGTGACTCTGACAAGAGCAAGGAGCAGACGTCAACAAGACGTTGCAGGAAGTGAGGGCTTCTAGCCGCAAGACTCGGCAGCGGCGGCTGAAGCAGCTGGCCGACGCCCTGATGACGTTGGCGACGGTCAGCGGCTGGCTGAAGCAGCTGGCCGACGCCCTGATGACGTTGGCGACCGTCCGAGTCAAAACCAGGTTGCTGGCGCCGCTGATGCTGGCGCCGCTGATGCTGGCGCCGACGATGACTCTGAGTCTGGTGCCGATGCTGACTTCGTGCCAGACTGGGAGCGCTCATCGACGGTGAGCGAGGACAGGGTTTTTAGACGGTGTTTGTTGTGTCTGTGCGCGTTTAGCCTCACGCCAGCTGCAGGCCCCGGCCGGGCAGCTCAAGCTGGTAGGGCACGCAGTGGCAGTCCCTGAGCCAGAAAGGCGGAAGGTCCCCTGGCCCAGGCGCCCACAGCGTGCACTATCACCCCCATGTCGCCGTCTGCAGCGCCGTTGCCAGGCTGCCTGTACCACCCGAGATACCTCATCAAAGAGACACCTGCCACCGAACTTGAGGTATTCCGCCATAAACTAATCGAGCCCCGGCGCCCTGCCATTGTCCATATCACTGATGGCCCGACGGATTTCCTCCATGTAGGTGGGTCGTCCAGCCACGCAGCCGACGGCCCCGTTGCCACATCCTGCCACACCGTCGCATCGACGTCCCCGGCGCCCTGCTGATAGCCTCAAAATGCCGTCTCCACGCCTCGGCTTCTGCCTGCGGGTGTGTCCCAAAGGACGAGACTGCATCCCTGCCCTTGCCTCCCACACCTGCGCTTGTTGGCGCTTCCACTGGTGGGCTTGCCGCAGGTCGGAGCGCTTCTGCTGTTTCTGGGCCGCCCATGCTTGCGCGTCCAGATTGTGGGGATTGCGCCGCGCATATCTATCCGCCGCCGACGAGCTGATCCATACGCTGTATCTCTGCGTCCCTCCTGCGTAGTCACGGGGCCCTGGCAACCTCGATCACCCCGCACACCAAGAAAGCACGACCAATTCCCATCTCGCCGTGAGGGGCTGGTGCCCATGGCCCCTAGTTGGCCATGCGCTGCGCCCAGGCGTCCCGGATCTCCTGGACGGCGTCGGAGGCCTTCCAGATTTGGGTGTGCAGGCCACCCTTGCGGGGTCCAAATCTTCCCGTGTCGTAACACAACTTCGACTGGATTATGGTCGGTGTAGGGCGAACAGGGACTCTGTACGCTCGGTCCTTCCTTCACAATTCTGCAAGCGAGAGTCCAGCGCTGTCCGTGGTGGCTGTGCTCGTCTCGGCCAGAGAACTAGGCAGCCCCCCAGCGTTGGAGCCTCACGCGGGCCAGGAAACATTTGATCTTGTGCTCCACCCCCATTTGGGTCTGCGCAAGGGGTTGAGCCCTCGGCTGCTCCAGGTCGCAAATCTCGGCGTCGTCCTCCAACTTTGGACCCGAGCCTGGCGTTCCCGCAAGCGGAGCCGGGACTGTTGGCAGAGTATTCGCGTGCGCCGTGCCTTGGCACGTCGTAACAGTCCGCGGTACCAATACGTCGCCGTAGTCGTCGGAGCACGCGTCGTCCGCATGCCGCATTTTCCGCCCATCTCAGATCCTGTTGAAGGGCCACCGCGCGCCGTTTAAGCGCCTACACGTGGCGTCTCGACAGCATCCCCCCAGCTCACAGAGGTACCCTAAAGGCGTACTGGGTATCAAGGTAGGGTGCGGTTACCTTAGGGTCAGGATCACCACAGCCGTTACCACGTATCGTCGAGGCCCCAAGACAGGTCAGCAACCGTCGACCGCACGGGTGCTGACGTTCCCTGCACGGCGGAGAGCCACAGGGAGACCCACCACGGCACGCTGGCCGCACGGGTCAACCGGTTCGAGCCGAGAGGGCGTTGATGGACGACAATGCCGGTCCCAGGCGGGTAGCGTGGCAACCAAAGCTAGCAAGCTTCCAAGGGAATGCCTAAAGGGACCCCGTCCACGGACGGGGGTGGATTAGCCCGGCCTTATACCTACATGTGCACGCATTCGTTTAAACAAACATCCACGTAGTCGCAATTGTTATATGAGTCCAAAATAATATCTTCCCACTTAAATGGTTACGCGTGAGTGCCGCCTAGGTTGCAAGGTCCTCTCACCTGGACCCGGAATAGGCACCCACAGCATATTCCGGACATGAAGTGCGTTACTTTCCAAAAAGTTAAAAAAGACACAAACACCCACACAAAAAAAAAGAAAGAAGATCCCTCACTAGCAGCCGGTGGCCGCGTGGAGGCCGCTGGTGGTCCCTCACATGTAGGCAGCCATTTAGCCCTCAGCTCCAAGTCTTTCATGGCTCCATTTCGGCAGATCCGTCCAAGTGCTTTTCCAGCAGCACTGGAGCCGGCCAGAGAGGAAAAGCACTGCATGGGTTTTCAACATGTTTGGGGCTCGGGACCGCGAAGGATCAACCCCAAACAGGGCTGCCTTGTTCTATCCCACAGCAGTTGGACCCCCAACTGGGCCAGGGGACACTTGCCAAACAGGTGCGTACATTGAGAGCTGCTCTCTCCTGGATTCCTTGAGTTGGGGGTGGGTTCACTTTGGCAGACCCCTTGGAAAGCACAGTTTTGGGTGGGCTCCTTTGGGCAGGGTGGTTTTGTGTTGGAATCCGCTGATTTGGACCAACACCTCACACAAGCACAAAGTTGCATGGGTCTGTCTCGGAATAGGGAGCCCTTTTCTGGAAAGCTTTGAACGACAACAGCCGCCAGGTGTCCCCAATTACCTCACCTGACTGATATTGCGCTATCCTTATGTTGCATGACCTTGCTGCACCTCGCCTGACATCAGACCTCTCCCTGAATCTCCACGTCAAAAGACTTCGGCCCGCGGGGATGGGCAACAACTTGCGTGACAGACGCCTTTTTAGGCTGTGCCGGTGCTGGAGAGCGGGTCCCTGGACGAGGATCCGCGATTCGCAGCGCAAAGACGTGTTGCCCAATGGGGGGCTGGTCGATTTTTTTGGCACCGGGTGGTTCGCCGCAGCTGATGCATCGGGACCAGTCGCCGCAGGTGTTCAAGGGCAATGTTTCTTGGGGCGGACGGTCCTGCGAGAAGGGCAGAGCTTGCCTTTCCACTCATCGTCCGAAACAAGCGCACACACACACATACACTCAACAGGTGTCAGTCTCCTCAAATGCCCAGAACACGGCTTCCAGCAAAAATGACCGAAACAAGGTCACTACAGCAGCCGGCAGGGTTGCGTGGAAGATGCTGGTGGAAGCGTTGGGGTTTGCAACCCGATTGTCAGACGTGTTCAAAACCATCCTGTCGATGTCACTTTCAGCAGAACAGCGCCGCTTTCTGACAAGCTCATCGCCTTACTGCAGTTGTTCAGCGGCACTAATTATCTTCTCTTTTTGTTTGGCGGGCTCGGGACTCACTGAACGTGGAGAACAATCGCAACAAGGCTTCCAATTCTTCTTCCTGTTCTACCGAACGGGTGGCGCACAAAGCCGAATTTGCGGAGGTTGGCGCCTGGATTTGGGCGGATCTATTTTGAAGGCCCATGTGCCAGCAAAAGTGGAACCTGTGTCGCGGCCTGTCACCAGGAGGCGTCAAGGTCAACGTATGGAAACTGGGGAATTGATAATGATTAAACCGCGCCGCCCCGCGCCGCGCCGCGCCACGCCACTCCATTTCACTCCGCTCCAGCCCACACTCCCCACTCCCCACTCCACTCTCCACAATTCACACTCCACACTCACGACTCCCCACTCCCCACTCCCCACTCCCCACTCTCCACTCTCCACAACTCACACTCCCCACTCTCCACAATTCACACTCCACAATTCACACTCCACACTCCACACGCCACACTCCACACGCCACACTCCACACTCCACACTCCACTCCCCACTCTCCACTCCCCACTCTCCACTCTCCACAATGCACACTCCACACTCCACACGCCACACTCCACACGCCACACTCCACACGCCACACTCCACACTCCACTCCACACTCCACTCACTCCCCACTCCCCACTCCCCCCTCCCCACTCCCCACTCCCCACTCCCCACTCCCCACTCCCCACTCCCCACTCACCTCCCCACTCCCCACTCCCCCCTCCCCACTCCCCACTCCCCACTCCCCACTCCCCACTCCCCACTCCCCACTCCCCACTCCCCACTCCCCACTCCCCACTCCCCACTCCCCACTCCACTCCACTCCAGTCCGCACTGACACTGGTTCCCTGACTCCCTGACTCACTGACTCGCTCGCTCACTCACCCAAGTGAGGTAGGACACGGGCACTACTGCAAGAAGCTGGTCTCAGAGAACGCGTGGTGTGGTCACCACACAAATTTCCGGCCATCGGACCATCTTTGACATAATTTCTGCTTTGCAGGCTGTTGACGAGTTGCAGGCATGAACGTCACGGCCGTCTCAACTCTCAAGATTCTTTGGGGAATGGATTCCAGCCATGGTTTGATTGCGTTGGCTGGACTTTTCGCCGGGTGGTGGGCAACTCGAGGTTCACCTGACAGGATAGAGCCCGGGATCTGCCAGTGCCACTGTCAGTGCCCCATCACCGAAGCCGGGCGAGGTGACGGATCTTGGAGCTGGATTGGGTTTGTGATTCTTTTAGCTCTATTGGGATTGAACCTGGTTCTGGTTTTGAGGATTACCATCCGCACCACTGAGGGAGGCGGGCAGGAACTGACGTTTTCTCTCAAAGGTAAGCCTGGCAAGGGAGTCTACGGGGCTCACAAGGGTCTGCAACTGCTGGATCGCTGAGATCGTATAAATCATGGCGCTCCAAATTGGGGACCTGGTTTACGTGCTGTATCATGGTGACCCGGGTGTTTATCATACAAGGGTGCTGCTGGGGGATTTGGGAAACGATGAGTGGATGATCGTCACGCCGGATCGAGATATCTACAGTGAGATTTTCCATGCTCGGAACGGCGACATATCCCAATTCTGGCATTCACCGGATGGTAGCATCCCACGAAAGGTGCCGGGAGCCCAGGTATATGCATTCGCTCCAATGGGGGCCCGTGAGTATTCCCAACTTCTTCAAAATGGGAGACGGGAGACAAATGCGGAACTTCTGCGGAGGGGAGGTGCAGCAGCGCCAGCGGCTGCAATGCCAGCAGCAGGAGCGGGTCAGCCGGACATGATGTGGGTGCTCGCTGAAATGATCGATGGGCACAGAATCGGCCAGGAGATCACTTTGGACGCTGGTAGTCCCACTGATGGGGATCGAGCCTTGGTCCACCTCACCGATGAGAATGGGAAGGATCGCGTTGTGTTAGCAGCTCATGTCAGCCGGGGCTCCGTGGGTGAATTTTGCGAGGAGCGGATCAGGCTATGCCGACTCGCGGAGGCCAACGCTGGCGATGACAGGGTATCTGCTGAAGACGTGAGGACCATGTCCATCCATTACCTAGCAAATGGTGAGCGCGGCAGAAATTTCAAGGAGACCGTGAAGGAGCTGCGCCAAGTGGAGTTTGATGATTTTCCTTTTCAACCACGGACATGCCAAGAGTACCTTAGGGCGGTGTGTGAAATAGCGGAGAGCTGCTATGGGCAGCATCTGGCCTGGGTCCAGCAGTCACGGATTCCGGAAGGCGATCGAGCCATCTACGAGGACGAGGTGCTCAGCCAGGTCCTTGATACGGCGATCCGCTATGACTGCCTGAATGTGGTGAATTTGGCAAGTTTTGAGCTGATTGTGCGGAGGAAGCAACTCTTAGCAGAAGCTCATGTGGGTGACCCTTCAGCCCCCTCATATGCGGCCAGCGATTACTTCATGGGGCGCCGATATCGGCCAGGAGGTGGAATCGTGGTGCCAGCGCTGACGGAACATGTATCCCGACGGATGCATGAGGAGAGCCAGATCATGAAGGAGAAGCGTAAGCTGATCGAAGCCAAAGGAGGAGGAAGGGTAAAGGGAACAAAAATGCGACTTTTGCAAGCCCCCCCAGCAAAGAAGGGGGGGTGGGTGGCAAGAAGTGAGTCGCACGGCTGGCAAGGAGCAGGGGGCTTGCCGGTTTGTTTTCGTACCCCTGCGGTTTTTGCGAGGTTTTTCTGGCACATGGAGGAGGGGCGGAACAGAGACATTTTACCTCTGCCTTTGCTTCAGGTTGAGCCGGTGCCTCAACGTGGTTCGTTGTCGAGGAGTACTCACCGCAGGATTCTTCGAAGAATACATTTGCAGGAGGGGGTGAACTTGGCCATCACTTCCTTGAATTCACTTTTTTCTGGGCGTGACGAGGACGGGGCAGTACAGTTTGTGTCGTCCTTGGATGAGCTCAACCTTGTTCAGCGGGATGCCATGGTCCACATCATCCGTCGAGTGAGATCTTTTGGCGGCCGACCTCTGAATGCAAGCCGTGCAGGAGCCCTTCAGGCGCTCCGCATCGCCTGCAGCCCTTATGGGGGCGACAGTACAGGCGTGGGCGACGTGGTACCTATGAGGCTGGGCATCCTGTCAGTTCCAGAGGTGGGCGTAGAAGGCGTGGACATTTCTGGGCTTTTGGATGGGCGAGCCGGGGAGTTCCTTCGTAACCCGGAGGACCAGATGTTGCAGGATGCTGACAATTGGGGCATTCTGTGCGAAGAGATGGCCAAGCTGCGCACATACAACGATCCGCAGCTAAAGCGCCGGAGTTTTTACATACAGTTTTTGCGGAAGCTGCAGAAAGCCGGGATCCTCACATTTTCTCGGACTGCGCGCGGACGAGTTGGAGCTTTTGTGGTGAAAAAGAAGCCAAAGGAAGTAAATGGGGCTATGGTGGATCGGCAACGATTGATACTTGACTGTAGGAAGGTCAACTTACAGTTCAGGGCGCCCCCCATCACCGAGCTTGGATCTCTGCCTGCTGTCAGTGATGTGTTCATCCCCGAGGGCAAGAACCTTTACATAGCTGGTGGGGATATCCGGGACTGTTTCTACGCTTGCCGCCTTCCAAAGGGACTTCGGGAGTTCTTCTGTTTCTCTTTTGATATATCTGTGGCTGAAGTTAGGGACATTCTTGGAGGAGATCTACCCGCAGAACTGCAGAGTTTACCCCCGGACAGCTATATTTCACCAGCTTTGGATGTTCTTCCTATGGGCTTTTCTTGGAGCTTCTATTTGGTGCAGTCCCTACATGTGCAAGCTTGCCTTTCGAGTGTATGTGAAGAACCAGACTCCATCATCCTTGACTCCAGGCCGCCGCCAACCCTGGATGCAGGCCGGGCGCTGTCGATGCCGTACTGTGACAACACGCATGTGCTGGCAACAGACCCGGAGGTGGCGCAACGAGGTCAGGAGACTCTTAAGTCCAAGTTGGAGTGTTTCGGTTTTTCAGTGCACGAGGAAGTCAGTGCTACCACCTATTTTCCAACACTGGGAGGCGTAATTGATGGGAGCAGTGGATTGGTCAAGACTTCTCCAGACCCTTTGCCGCCAGAGAGTTTACACGGAGGCGCCTTTGGCCTGGGGTTCTGAGGGAGTGTCGCATATTCATGGGGCTTTTGCCTTTACTGGTGGGTGACATGCGGTTGCCGTGGAGCGAGACAGTTACATGTTCAGACGCATCACCTGAGGGATACGGCATTTGCGAGAAGGTTTTCCCTATTTCGGAAGTGGAGCAAGTTGGGAGGTGGCAGGAGCGGTGGAGATATAAGAGGAGCCCGGTTGACGAATGGTGCCCCCGAAAGAGAGCCCTGAAACTGGACCCCTTTTCTGACGTCTCTACCGCACGGTGCGACCCCAAGGCGCTAGAGCAGGCTGACCAATTCACTAGGAATGAAGAGTTTGAGGAGGTACCATCAAGTATGCTTTCAGTGGAGGGGTGGAAAGTTGCAAAGTCGGGCAAGTGGATGCACACCAAGGAGCACATTACCCTGAAAGAAGGTCGGACTGCAGTCTTGGCAATAAGAAGAATTGCGAGAACGACTAGAAACAGGGGGCGCAAGCATTTGCTTCTGGTTGACAATTTGGCTCTGGCTTTTTGCCTGGGAAAGGGGAGATCGTGCAATCATGCCATGCTACGGGTCGCTCAGAAAATTGGGTCTATACTTCTTGCTGCGAACATACAAGTGCGAGCTCGTTGGATTCCATCTGAGAAGAACTTAGCTGATGCCCCATCGAGAGGTTCGCTCGCTCCCGGTTATTTCAACGCAGGGACCCAACCCAAAGAAGCGACCGAGAGCTTCCTCCTTAACTCAGAGCAAGGCAGAAGTGAGGACCCTGGCACATGCCGCTTTTCCCAATGCGGAGGAACAAGCCGGAAACAACATGGGTACCAAGGGAGGCGTGAAAATGGTGGACAGAGTTGTGCGAGAAAGGCGGAGCGTGGTGGCAAAGCCAGTTGGGGGCAAGAAGAAAGTGGCCCCGCCTGGCCGGAGAGCCCAAGTGGGTCTTTTGACGGAGTTGGAGCAGAAGAGCATCAGCACAGAGCAGGAGGCGTAGTATTCCAGCTACCTCCGGAGGTTCAAGGACTTTTGCAAGGAGAGCGGATTGGTGTGGCCTCTGCGCGGGAAGGTCGACGAGACCCTCGCAGATTACTTCGACGTCCTGTACCTGGACGGGCAGGGGGTGAACGCCGGAGAGAAGACCTTAGCAGCGGTCGAGTTCTACTTCCATGCGGTCAAGGGCAAAATGATGCGGAGCAGGAGGGCGCTGCGGGGGTGGAGGAAGGTGAGGCCACCGCGGAGCCGGTTGCCTTTGCCGCGGACAGTAGTGTTTGGCATAGCGATGCGGATGATTTTCCAAGGGCATCGGGACAAGGCGCTCATGATCTTGCTCAGTTTCGATGCCTATCTGAGGCCAGGCGAGGCAGCGGATTTGGTCGCTCGCAATCTTGTTCCTCCGGTTCGGGGGACTGGCAAGCAGTACCAGCTTTATACCCTGGTGGTCAGAGAGGAGGACGAGGGGGTGCCGGACAAGACGGGAATTTTCAGCAGCTCAATCCCGATGGACAATCCGAGCACGAAGAATTGGTTGGGGCCGGCGATTCAACGGTTATGCAAGCACAAGAAGGCAAACGAACGTTTGTTCGACTTCAACCAGGACAGCTACCGAGCAGCTTTCAAATCTGCAAGCAATTGGCTGGGCTTGGGAGACTTGCACACCTACCAGCTGCGGCATGGCGGAGCCTCCGAAGACTTGCTAGGCGGAGTCAGGGAGTACCAGGTAGTGAAGGAGAGGGGTCGCTGGCGGACAGACACATCAGTGCGGAGATACGCCAAGGTGGGGAAGATTCAGGCGTTACTCAACAGACTCGCCCCGTGGGCCATACAATTCTGCAAGAGAGCGGAAGCGAAAATGGAGGAGGTGATCACGGGGAAGCTCGCAGCGTTCAGCGCATAGATCCTCTTTGGCAGGACTGGAAATCCGCCCCGGCCGGGAGCACTCTTGAGATCTTTGCAGGCTGTGGAAGGCTGACAAGAGCCATCAGGAGGCGTTCTATGCGAGCTTATGCCATTGACTTTCTCATCAGTTCTGCTGACAATGTGTTGGACCCGCAGGTCGAGGATAGCATTGTATCTTTGTTGGTGCAAGGAAGGATTCGATTTGTTTGGTTGGGCATGCCATGTACTACTTTCAGTATTGCAAGGCGTCACGACGGAATAGGACCCCCCCCTCTACGAAGCGATGCTTGTCCTATGGGTTTGAGCAACCTATGCAGACGGGATCAGCAGAAACTCAATGAGGGGAATCAGCTGCTTTTCTTTACAGGACGTATTTTGTGGTATTGCTATGCTTTGCGGATTCCATTTGTACTGGAAAACCCCTGGTCATCCAGATGCTGGCAGACTCCCATATTGCGTTCCTTTTTAGATTTGCCGCACATCACTCTTTTGGAATTGCATTTCTGCCAATTCAATGAGAAGTGGAAGAAGCCCACAGCTCTTATGGTTTTCGGTCTGGACCTGGACCATGTCGCAAAACAATGTGCAGGGACAAATCGAATTTGCAGTGCCACGGGCAAGCCTCATGTAGCACTAAAGGGCATTGGCCCCGACAAACGCTTCATGACGCTGATTGCTCAGCCGTACCCTTTTCAGTTGGTTGAAGCAATTGCCGATGCCTTGCAGCAGCAACTTACTGGAGCGCAGAGCGGGTAGGGGAGCAGAGATGGGCATTTTCTGTGGTTTCTACCATTTCAATGCAGGCCCTAATCTGAAATCAGATTGGGTCGCCAGTGAGCCACACAGGCTGCTCACTGAATACAAAGCTGTGCTTTGACACATCTGGCCAAAAGTGAAGTGCTGGAGACAGAGTCATAATTTCTGCTTTGCAGGCTGTTGACGAGTTGCAGGCATGAACGTCACGGCCGTCTCAACTCTCAAGATTCTTTGGGGCCACCACCGCCCCACCTCCGCTCAGAGATGGGCATTTTCTGTGGTTTCTACCATTTCAATGCAGGCCCTAATCTGAAATCAGATTGGGTCGCCAGTGAGCCACACAGGCTGCTCACTGAATACTAAGCTGTGCTTTGACACATCTGGCCAAAAGTGAAGTGCTGGAGACAGAGTCATGTTTAGAGCAGAGATGGGCATTTTCTGTGGTTTCTACCATTTCAATGCAGGCCCTAATCTGAAATCAGATTGGGTCGCCAGTGAGCCACACAGGCTGCTCACTGAATACTAAGCTGTGCTTTGACACATCTGGCCAAAAGTGAAGTGCTGGAGACAGAGTCATGTTTATGTTGGCAAGTCACGAGCTGATTTCCCGATCTCGTTTTGGAGGCTTCAGACATCCCCGCAGTTTTACCAATCCCAAAACGCCCGCATTTGTTTGTCAGCAAGCAGCTGGGGGAACTTGGGCCCTTCGCACTTGCATGTTCAACCTAGTATGGTTATAACTCATAACTGGGGTTCGATTCACATCTGGTTGTTGGAGTTTTCGCGGCCCCTCGAGGCTGCAAGGAGTCATTCTACCACGGGGTTGGGGTGGGCAAGCGAATGTCTATCGAATATGTGAATGATGTGCATACGCATTTTTAGGTGTGTGATATGTATAATACATGAAAAGAGTTACATACCAGGCAAATGTCTCCCTTGTTCCATGCAAAAGACGCTTCACAGGAGAGAGGCCGCCGGCCAGGCCGCTCGGGGCTCGGGGGGCTAGCGTCGCTGGAGGCTGAGAACCGCCACTTTTCGATTCATTTGGCAAAGCAGCTGAACCGAAGCAGAGCAGCGGTTAGATACGGGGGAAAAAACATATGTAACGTACATGTACATGTATGGATAGATACATATATACACACATACCTCTCCATCTCTCTCTCTCTCTCTATATATATCTATGTGTTATATCCCTAAAGCGTGGTTTTGATACATATCATATTGGCATGTTACCCACATGTATACTGTATATATATATATATATACACACATGCATATGCAGATGCGTTTATGTAGGTGCGTAGTATAGCAAGGTTGATTCAAACCATGTGATCGTTTGTTCAGATGTCGCGCATGGTTTGGAGGCAGCAGGTTCTGGCTGGATATGTGATTCGGGCACTGGGGTTGATCATGTGCAGATATGATCCCGGACTCGGAACTCAATCTCAACATCAGCCCTTAACCAACATGGATCCTGCCAAGCACATGGCAAAGATTGGACAGAGGGCAAATAATGGGAAATGTCAACTTCGGATCAATCCAGGGAGAGGGACCCACTAGAATAGATCACTTTTTGGGCGGGAACCCCCTTTGATCCGTACGGTACTGCAGATTCATCCAAAGTCAGCAGAATGTAAGGGGTACAACCAAAGAACATGGAACCTGACAGTGGGTCCTTTTAAAAGGAAAAAAAAAGGTGTTTCAGCACCCCAAAACGTCAGGTTCCACGTTAGTTGGTGGGGTATGCATTTTCAAGTCCTCTCAACCCTCGGCTTCGCAGATTGGCCACCCTCCAGCGATGACCGCGCGGCACCAAGTGCTTTGAACACGGGCGATTTGGGTTCTCAAAATGACATTTGGATGAGAACTTGGCTTGTTTCCCTTGGGTTTACCCAACACCCACACACCGAAAGAAAACCCATAACGGCTTGTTTCCTTTTGAAGCTTGCCTTTGAACATTCACCAAAAGGAAGTCTTTTTAGAGACTCCCTCTCCATTGCTTTGCAGTTTTGGGTCAATGGAAGCGAATGCACGGCACGCTCATTTGCACGGCTGGCCCGGTGCTTTCAGCCACGGCTGCGCTTCGGGGTGGTTCATGGCCGTAGACCCTGGCTGGTCAGTGGGGCTTTAACTCAGTGGCACCCTTTTTCCCCCTTTTTTTGGTGGCTGCCCCACAGAAAGTGGTCTTCCCCAAAAAGGGTTCCCTTTTTTTGCCAGGGTGACTGAACAACTGAATTAAAAGACACGACATATACGTGATCCTACTGAAAGTGGGCTGCACCCGCCATCAACCAAGGTGTATTCATATGGGCATTTTGTTTAACGAGGCGTAGGTCAAAGGAGCGATCTTCCGCTTGGGGCATTCCTATGAGTGTGCCTGCATCTAGAGTCGAGGCACGAAAAAACATGTTTTGTTGTGTGACATGGATTGCAGAGAGCACCGCAAGCATTCCCATCAGGTTGCCTACAGCACACTTTTGATAAGGCTTGATCATGCCAAAATGGCTTGGCCAAATCAATAGATCCTCCCTGCAGCCGTTACGGGCTTTTGTTTGTTGTTTGTGTTTGGCTCAGAAAGTCGGGTCATCTTGAGTTTGGAAGTTTTCGTATTTGGAGTATGAACTTCTGAGCCGGAGTTCAAAAAGGAAGAGGTCCCAGTGGACCATGTGGTCAACCTCAAGGATTCCGTGGGAGCGCTCAGGCGGCCTGCGGTGGGGTGGCTGGGCTCAGGAAGCCCGGCGCCGGCGGCTCGGGGTTCGGGGGTTGGGGGGGGAGGCCTCGGGCCATGTTTGTGACACCCCCTAGATGGATGTGTTTGTTCTTTCTTTCTTTTTTTTGCGGGGAAACCCTTTTGGTTGACTTTTAAAGGGACACAAGGGATCTCATGTTGGGGTTCCCTATCAGGGTGATCGACTTAGCAGCTGAATAGTGCGGCTACAAGCAGGGCTCTGAACCCAATAGCTCCTGCTTCTGGTTGAGAGGTTCATGACCTCTTTGTTTCCAAACAAGGAGCCAAGTCTGGCACGTGCGTGGTCGGTCACCCAAACCAGCCGACCAGCCCAACCACTGCGACACCAGACGCAAACCTGACACAATCAGCCAATCTCTTCCCTTAGCCGCCTAGCCTCAGTGAACCTCATATCAACCAGAGAGCTTCCAAAGTAATCTAAGCTCTAAACCAGCAAGCAACTCAACCACCAAATGGGCGTGTCTGCGACACGCCGCTCACAGCCGACTCACAATTCAACGAGCTGGTCCACATGAGGCCTGTGTCGCTTGAGATGCGGCCAACCAACCAACCTACCAGCCAACCCGCCAGCCAGCCAGCCAGCCAGCCGGCCAGCCGGCCAGCCGGCCAGCCGGCCAGCCGGCCAGCCAGCCAGCCACATCCGTGAACAATAACTAAAACTACGTCATCCATCTCCCACTTCAAGGAACAACTAAGGTTCCTTGAAGGATACACCCAAACACCGCCTGCTTTACGGCTTTACGAGGCATCCTTGAAATAAACAGCTGGTAAAAGTCATTTGTGAACTAGCCCAAAATTATCCTTTGAGCAAACGGTATCCCATCAAACCTGACTAGACCTATTGACGACTGTAGGGTCTCTTACTGAGCTCCGGTCAGCAAAGTATCTGTGCCAACCTGGGGGTGCGCCATTTTGTGACCACTCCTATGATGTTCCACCCTCCCCAACCTCCAACAACTTGGCCCTGCGGGTGCTGCCGGCGTCATTTGCGCAATTTTGTCACCCCGACAAATTGACCTTGTGTGTCCAACCTCCCCAACCTCCTTACTTCACCCCTCCTTTTGCTTCTTGGCACGTTCGTTTTCGACATCTAGGTGATGGCGATGCCCTCCAAAAGCCGGATCTGCTCTCCGTGGCTCGGATGGCTGGGGTGGTCCGTTGCGCTTTTCAACTCGCAGCGGGTTTTCGCGGTGAAGCTGCCGGACAAATGTGCGGGCCAGCCTCAAAGTGATTGCGGTTTCCCCAGTCTGGAGTCGCTAGTGGGGTGTTTGGGCTTGTTTTGGTTTTCACCTGCGGGTTCGCTTGGCTGGATTCTTTTAAATAGGGAATTTCCAAAAGTGGCTGGTAGACCAGACATGAATCCCCACCTAAATGATGTCCACCACAGGGTCCCCACTTATCCCAAGGGTACTGACAGCGTGGTAAACTTCCAGTGATGCTGGATGATACAAGTGATGCTGAGCAACCAGGAGCTAGTTTTCTGGTGTTTTTCCAGCAGTCTGCCAAGAGTGTCCTTGTAGTTTTTCTTGCAGTGGTGTGTTGTGTGCGGTCTTCGTGTGGCCTTGGTGCAGTCTTGCTGTGAGTTCTTGCAGTCATTTGTAGCCGTTGTCTTTGGGTAGGTAGGCTTCCTGCAATTTTGCAATCCCTTCGTTAGACTTCCTTAGGGTTAATGCTCAGCGTTAAGGGTCCGAGTTAGAGGTGAGGGTCCGAGTTAGAGGTTAAGGTCAGAGGTCTTCGAGGTTAGAAGTCAAGAGTTTCGGTCAAACAGTAGAAACGATGAATGTTGACCCCATATGAATCACCCCCAGCTTATTACTAGAAAGGTTTTTTTTTGGTTTATTAGGGGAATGAGATCACTTTTGGAGGGGAACACCCCCCCCCACCTCCCCTTTTCGATAAACTGGTTGGTTGATTCATATGGGGCCAACCTTCGGAGGGAAGGTCGGGGCTCAGATCCGGGCGACGAGGAGGGCGCCATGGCCCTGCCGATGAGCGGCGGCCCCACTCCCGTGATCCCGTGCCGGGCGAGGGCGAGGGCGTCCGATCCGGACATCGCCCCCTTCGGAGGTCCATGGAAAATGACTTGGACACCACAAACTCGTCGTTTGAAGAACCTCCTTTGGGGGAAGCCATGTTTTGGGTCCCCCGTGAAGTTGCATTGGGGTATGGTTGCTTTGGAGACAGATTGAGCCTGTTGTTGGGCGAATTGCGTGACTGCTGCCCAATGAGTATACCTTGGAGAAATGGC